TCGTGGCCTCTTCCGTTGTGGAGCACAGGCTCCAGACGCGCAGGCCCAGCGGCCATGGCTCACGGGCCCAGCCGCTCCGCGGCACGTGGGATCTTCCTGGACCGGGGCACGAACCCGCGCCCCCTGCATCGGCAGGCGGACTCCCAACCACTGCGCCACCAGGGAAGCCCTGAGCTGGGTTTTAAATGATGACTAGGAGCCCACCCGGGCTTACAAAAGGCATTTAGACGTGTGTTGAGTGAATGAGTTGGGCAGGAAGGGGAGGAGAAGGGCATGTCAGCATAGGAAGAGCCCACAGGTAACATGGAGATGCCAAAGAAGATAAGATGCTAAAGGTATTTCAAAAGATTGTGTGGGTGAGGCGGAGGGTACATGGGAAGTGCACAAGGGACCACAGAAGGTCAATGAGGGTCATGCCTGTCATGCCACGCTAAGCAACTGGAATATTTTCCAAAGTGCAAAGATTTTTAAAGTCAAGACATTATGAAAGATGGTTTTGGAAAGAATTTTAGCATAGCAGAGATGGAGGAGCTAGAGGGTGAACACTGGGAAAGCTTAGCAGCAACAGTTTAAGCAAAAGATAACAAGGACTTGAATTAAGGCAACAGCAGTGAGGATAGAAAGAATGTGACAGAATGTGAGACTTTTAGGAGGCAGAATTAATATACTTTAGAACTACCTGTATGTAGAAAAGAAACATGAGTACTACTCTGAGTTCCCAGCTTGGGAGACAGGGTGGATAAGGATGCCATTAAAAACTATATGAGGGCTAAAAAAGGAAAACAAAATTTGGTGATTTCCGTTATGGATCTGAGGTGCCATTGGGCAATCCAGACAGAAGTGTGTAATACAAAGTTGAATTCGGAAAAAGAGAAGGAGCTCCAAGTCATTAGCATGTAAGTGAGATTCAAAGCCAAGGAGATGAGAGAGACCAGGATAAGCACACCAAACCACAGAAGACATCGAATAAAGGATCTTGGGGATAAGCATTTACAGAGAACAGGCAGAAGAAAAGGAACAAGAGAATGAGAATTGGTCACAGTGATAAAAAGAAAACAGAAGAGGTTGTCAATGAAAACCATGACTTGAAAATATTTCAAGACTGGTCAATAATGAATTATTGCAGTGAAGGCAAACAGGGTAAGGACTAAAACTAGCCAGTGGATCCGAAAATTAGTAAGAAACTGCAGCTCTCTCAAAGACAGTTTATATAGCACGGTGGAAGTGAAAGCCAGACTAACTGGGGGAAAGTAAAGACAGTGTGTATAGAATGCTTCCTGATGGTGTAGAAAGAAAAATAATGTGGTAGCCTGAAAGGCAGGAGGAGTTTACAAAAAGATTTCCTTAAGATAAGGAGATTTGAACATACTTCTGAGAGGAAAAAATCAACAGAGAAAGATACTAAAGAGACAACAGAGGTAGGAAATAAATGTAACAGATTAAAAAAGTAACTTTTAAAATATTTTATTGTGATACTTATTAAATTGGAAGGGTCTAAATTATTTTCAAAACTGACATTCTGAAAAATGCAAATAGTTGACAATCTATTAAGCTCTTAAAACATAAGATGCATATTCGTTTACTGACCCTACACTGTGCATTGAGCAGCACCATGTCCTGGCCTCTGCATCCAGCTAACAGTGGAGGCAGAATCCCTGCCATCAAGAGTTTATATTCCAGGAAAAATCTCAGTTGTTTAAGAACTTCATCTCAAAATATTAATCAAAGAGTGTACAAAATGATCATTTAAAGACAGTGAGGACTAGAAACATTATATATTACATAAACGAAAAATATTTAACAGAATGTCTTTAGGAAAAACGTTTTCATTACTTCTTATTTAATCAGTGAGTCTGTGTGATGCATGTTTATGACGGTTCCTTGATAAGCAAAACATAACTAAAGCATAAGAGTCGTTATATCACTTTATATTCATTCTCTCTGCTTTCTTTGAGGGCAAGCAGCGTACACAGAGAGTACTTCTCAAGGATACTAACCTGGCAGTGCCATCAGATGATGCAGTAAGGATATAGCGATCATCTTTTGACCAGCAAAGATCATAAATGATATTGAGGTGGCCACACAATTCTCTCATGAAACGTCCAGAAGGAATTTCATACACTAATGAAAATATTCAAAAATTAGTATGTTTCCAGACAGAGGATTCTTAACCGGGTAACATAAAAATTCATAACATATAATAATTTGTATACCAGGTAAGCACTGTCTATAAGAATATTATCACCAAAGACATTTTCCATATTAAAACATGTCAAAATCTACTTAAAAGTAAGTTTTCACTTGCTTTATACACAAGAATTTACATACCTGAAATTTTATAATGGGCTACAATTAACAATTATTATTTCTTCAAAGCAATCCTAATAATCTTTGATAATCAATTTATTAATCAAATAACTTTAAAAAAATATTTATTTATTTAGGCTGCGCCGGGTCTTAGCTGCGGCATGCGAACTCTTAGTTGTGGCATGCATGCCGGGATCCAGTTCCCTGACCAGGGATCTAGCCCAGGGCCCCTGGATTCGGAGTGTGGAGTCTTACCCACTGGACCACCAGGGAAGTCCTTCAAATAACTTTTAAATTGCAATTCACTTCAAAGATTCTGTAATTTGGTCTTTCATGAATAAGGTATTATTTTATCTGAAAATCAAATTCCAACCACAATTTAACTATTCGAAGCAATGAGAAATTTAAACTGTGCTATTGTGAGAAAAAAATTCTAATACTAAAAATGACAGACACTACTGTGAGAGAATGAACAGAGATTTAATCTGATAAACAAGGCATTGTGGTATGGCTATGTTACGTATATATACAATGAAATCTAAGATAACAACTTAACACAGAAAATACTTTCCAAGTCTCTACTTCCACCTAGTGGTAAAACCAACTGCTCTTTAAAAATATCAAGCAGTACACAAGAACTTCTGTAATAGCAAAATAAAGACCTCGGAAAATCTGCTTCCCCATAAAAGCAACGAGAACACTGGCAAAAATTGTCAAAATTAACTTTTTCAGAACTCTGTAAATGAAAGGCTTGCAAAAATCTGAGGAGCATTTATTAAAGAAAACAGCTGAATCTTGGTAAGAACACTGAGCTCTGTGGTGTTTTAACTTGTCCTGTTCCCATTCCCATGTCCGAAGCTCCAAAGTAGACTTAAAAATCAACAGCCTTGAAACTACGAAGAAAACCAGCAGCCTAACAGCTATGGGATGCGGCAGAAGAGGCCTGAAGATCTCCAAAGCCCCATCTCCAAGATTTATCACTGCTGGACAGCTTGGCAGCTCCCAGAAAGGCTCCATTTTCAGGGCTTGGCTTTATCTGACCTGGCTCTGAGCATGATCTGTGTGAAGAGCCGTAACTCTAGGGTGCATGAAATAATCAGTAGTGAGGCTATCTGACACAGTGATACCAGGTGGGCCTAAGAAGAGGCTGACCAAAAAATTCAAAAGGAAAAACTGGGAATGAGATGTTCATAGGGGACTTTGAAAAACTCCAATACATTCTGGGGAATCTAGAAGGACACATACACATGAAAGGCTGTGTACATACTCGTGCAAGAAAGACCTGAAAGGCCCTATCTCTTACAGTGACTGCCCTGAGGACTGTGCAAGTAAAGGCTAAGGCAAAGTTGTAAACTCCCTACTTTAGAATTGAAAACATATCCCAACACACACACACACACACACACACACACACACACACACATGCACACACACATGCACACACATGGCACTTCGGCACAGGCTGGGAGACCCGTTCACTCAGGCATTTAAAAATCCCTCTCTAACCACTAGCGGACCACTAAGCTAACCAAGCAACGACTCCAGGGGTAAAACCTGACAAAGGATAAAGACCACAGAATTAGTCCAGGAACATCACTAAACAAACAACAACAAATCCCAGGTGGACAGATGGAGGGGGGTTAAAGAGGGGAATCTGATTTCCAGAGTTGCCACACTGTAATATTTAAAATATCCAATTTTCTAGGGAGACACACCCCTAAAAAAACCCCAAAATAGTAAAGTATGGCCACATACAGGAAAAAAAGCAGTCAACAGAAACTGTCTATGACACTGGTTTCCTAGATAAAAACTTTAAATTCACTTGTATAAATATGTTCAAAGATATAAAGAAAACCACATCTAAAGAATGAAGGTGTGAGAATTATTTCTTAGCAATTCATAGAGAATATAAAAAAAGACCAAGCAGAAATTCTAGAGTTGAAAAGTACAATAACTGAAATAAACAATTCACTAGAGGGGCTCAACAGCAGATATGAACTGTCAGAATAGTCAGTAAACTTGAAGACAGGTCAATTGAGATTATGCAGTCGGAGGGGCAGAAAGAAAAAAAAATGAAGGAAAATGAATAAAGGTGCAGAGACCTGTAGGACGCCATCACGTGTACCAATATAGAAATGATGGGAGTCCCAGAAGCAGAGAAGAAATAGAAAGGGGTAGAAAGAACATTCGAAGAAATAAAGATGAAAAACTTCCCAAACTTGTGAAAAACATCAATCTGCACATCCTAGAAGCTAAATGAATTCCTAGTAGACACACCATAATCAAAAAACAATGACAAAGATTCTTCTTTTGTTTTTTGAGATTTAAGCAGTAAGTATATATAAATTCAAGTTTTTCTTTCTTTTTAAAAAATATTTATTTATTTGGCTGTGCCAGGTCTTAGTTCCACATAACAAATTTGAGGGCTTCCATAATCAAATTATTACTATCAACTGACTAAAATTGGATTAAAATTCGTCAGATTTATTAATCCTTCAAGTTGCAAAATGTCTATATTTAAAGTAGAAAATACCTCCTGAATGTTTTAAAAATAAATTTATCTTCCTTCATTTGATCATTTTCATTCTATTTCTGGACCTACATTATATAGCAAAGTGCAAAATTATTATAAAAGAATCGTTACTTTACTTGAGGAAATCTATTTTAATTTAGTAGTACTGGTGGATGACTCAAGATTTCAATGAATTTTAAAAACCAAAAAACATCCTCCGTATAGACTACAATCAGCCTAAACAGAAGGATTATTACTCACAAATAATTGGATACCCATCCCGGCTGGCACAGGCTGCTGTTAATATTCTTCCATTGTGGGAGAAAGCAAGACAGAAACATCCTCGCTCCCCAGCATTTAGTGAGAAGAGGTGCTTGTTTGGGATACGGCAAGCCTGAAAAACATACATTTTACCAAATATAGATGAAGAAACATTAAAATATGAAAGCTAGCTGTTAACTTCAATTACTGTAGCTGTTGCAGTTTCTGGTTTTTTAAAAAGTCCCTTTACTGTGATGCAGAGGAAGAAGAAAGCGAGTAAGCAGAATGATGGAAAACCATAGTAAATTACTTTCAAAGCAGAGAATCAGTTTCAATTCTCCAGAAAATTGAGTTTATACTCCATGCCTAACTAGCACTATTCACCCAAAATATGAATAGAAAATTTCAATATCTGATACTCTAAAGCTGTCACTACCACATTATTTTTATACAGCCACAAAAATGAATGTATGTCACACCCTTATTTCATGACAGCAACTAATAAGTGATTTTTACTGAACCATAAACTTGTTCTGAGTCCATAAATGCCATATAGGCCTAGCTGAAGTCCATGATGTATGAATATTCATTCTCTTTCTTTTTTTCTCTCTTAAAATAACCATTATTTGTACTGCCTTCCAAAATGTATTTTCAAAGTAAATCAATCACCTCCTATTGATTTCTCATTCACTAACTTTATTAAAATTCCGTCATAATTTTTATGTTTCATTCCTTATTACCAGATGAAACCAAAACTTTCTGTGCGTTATTATCTGCTGTAGAAAATACTACTTACTATTTTTTTTTTTTTGTGGTACGTGGGCCTCTCACTGTTGTGGCCTCTCACTGTTGTGGCCTCTCCCTGTTGCGGAGCACAGGCTCCGGACGCGCAGGCTCAGCGGTCATGACTCACGGGCCCAGCCGCTCCGCGGCATGTGGGATCCTCCTGGACCGGGGCACGAACCCGTGTCCCCTGCATCGGCAGGCGGACTCTCAACCACTGAGCCACCAGGGAAGCCCACTACTTACTTTTATTTGTCCTAATTCTCTCTTTCAAACTTTTGTGAGCCTTAGTTCCTGTGTTTCTTTCTTATTATTCAAAAAGTTCAACTGAACATATATTGAGCCCTTACTATATGCCAAGAATGTGGCACTTTATTACAAATGTCTTTTTATATATTCATCACAGTAAACCTGTAATTATTACTACTATATATAGCTAATAAGGATTATTCAGAGGGTTAAGCCCAGCTTAACGGGCCTAGTCAAAGACTACTGGTTCAAGGGCCCGCCTTCTAGATTGGTACCAGGTTTTTCACAAGTAGCATCAAGATTTAGCAGCATTATGAAGAGGCAGCATTATGAGCAGCTACTAGAAAGGTGAAAAATTCAACAGACATTTATTAGGTGCCAATAATGTACCAGACACCATTTTCCCTCCATTCTCTATTGGGATGATATAGAAAAGGGAAAGGGGGAAAAAAGAGGACAAAAATTGAAGGAAAAGTTAGGAAGTTTCATAACCACTTGCTGCTGCTCTTAGAGGAGGAGATGTAGTTAAGGAAAACTCTGTGCCTCATCACTTAAGCCAAAATACTAACGGCACCATCATTTTCTTTGTATTCCCAGAGTTTGACACTGTACGCAGAAGAGGCACTTGATGAACGTTTAATAACAGCAATAAAGATCCTCAATATTTTCACCTCTTTCCCCTTCTTTACTACCTTGTCAGTCACTAACTCACACTAGGTCTTTCCTTTTGTATTTACCTCTTACTTCTCACTTTTGCCACCAATACCCCAAGGTTGGACCCTTCTCACCTCACACATCAATGACTGCAATGGCTACCTTTCTCTCATTCTGATGTATCCTCCCTCAAGATCTACCTGCCATCGCCAGTGTTAATCTGTCCTAAAATACAATTGTTATAGTGCTTCCTCCCTACCTGAAACCTCCCATTATCTCTCAATCCCATACAATCAAATATTAGGCTACCTACCATTTGAGCCACTCCACAATGCGGGCCTAATCTATCACACCACTTTTACCTCTTATACAAACTTGTGTTTCCAGCCAGCCAAGTTTTGAGTGCCTGAGGAATACAGCAGGTGCTTTCCCATTTATTTACAACATTGTCACAATATGAAATATTCCTCCCTGTCCTCTTCACCCACTCCTAACTTGGCCATGCTTTAAAGTCTACCTCAAGCTCCACCAACCTGTTGAATGAACCCTTCTTCCACCACTCCAGATCACCTTCTACATAGCTGCAATTCTCAAACTGTTTTAGTTTCAGGGTGCTTTACAGTCTTAAAAAATTTTGAGGACTCCAAAACGCTTTTGTTTATGTGGCTATATAAACAGATATTTATTATATTAGATATTAAAATGGAGAAATTTTAAAAATATTTGTTAATCATTTAAAAAACAACAGAGCAAACCCATTCAATGTTAACATAAATAATTTCTTTTTATGAAAAATAACTACATAAAGTGGAATTGTTCTATATTTTTGAAAATCTTTTTAACATCTGGCCTAATAAAAGATAGCTGGAATTTCATAACTGCTTCTGCATTCACCCTTTTGTGAGATCATGTATCATTTAGTCACTGGAAAACTCCAGTGTATACTTGTAAGAGAATGAAAGTCAAAAAGAAAAACTAAATCATTATGGAATCATTAGAATCATTATGATCTTACTATGAAAATAGACTGACTTCAACAGACCCCCTGAAAGTATCTCAGGACTCTCAGCAGTCCCCAAATCACACTTTGAGAACTACTGATCTAAACAATTATTTTTATAGCTATATTTCCTCAAGACTTCTTTGCAGCATATCTGACAGTGAACATTGTAACCGCTTCCCATGTCCCCAACTGACGTGAAAGGTCCCCAAGGCCACAGTCTAAGTATTATTCTCTCCATATTATTATGTCTGAAGTATTTAAAATTGATTTTAAGATGTATCTGTAAAATTAGCCTCAGAAAGAAAGTCAGATATCATGCAAAACAAAATGTGAACAGGTCTAGGAAAATAGTCATTCTTTGTATATACCGAGTATTTAAAATGAACCACTCCACTCTTTATGGAAACAAGAGATTTGCAAAACTTTATCAGTAATGCTTCTTGCCAATACAAAATATGCTAACCAAGTAAGAGAACTTTAGAAAAAGCTTAAATACAGCTCAACTTGTGGTAAAGATATATACATATACCTATCTCTATCAAAATGTAACTCAGGAAGAAGCCAGGAGCTGTAAAAAAAAAAAAAAAAGTTCACGATCCATAAATTGTGGATTTATGGGCTGAATTGTGTCCCTCCAAATTCATATGTTGAAACCCTAACCCCAGTACCTCAGACTGTAACAGTATTTGGATATAAGGTCTTTAAAGAGCTGATTAAATTAAAATGAGGTTGCTAGGGTACAGCCCTAATCTGATAATAAGAAGAGACACCAGTGATGCACACACAGAGCGAAAAGACCATGAAGAAGCAGCAAGATGGCAGCTATCTGCCAGCCAATGAGAAAGGCCTCAGAGTAAATCAACGCTGCCAACCCTTAATCTTGGGAATTCCAGCCTCCAGAATTATGAGAAAGTAAATTTCTGTTGTTTAAGAGGCCCAGTCTGTGATATATTTTTATGGCAGCTCTGACAAACTAATAAAACTCCCCAGGTCACTAAAGAACTTAAGATAGTGCCTTTATACACATGATAGGCACTCTATTATTATTTACCACATGAATTAATAGAAAGACAAGATCATGGTTAAAAACAAGGATAATCTGAGAGTTTTAAAAGTAGGAAGCCAGTTACCATAGGAGCTGTTGGCGTTTTCAAGGTAAATGAGTAAATATCTAAATGAATCCAGTGTCAGAGACCACTTCACCTGCCCAGGCAGTCGTTTCCACTTCACCACTTCCTTTGAATCTTCTAATCCAGGTTCTGTGTCTACTGAACGTGCCTCATGGTGTTGTTCACAATACAATGGTTTACCCTTTTCTTCCTGAAGAGCCATCATAGAACGGTAAGATGGCTTTATCTAAACATGTACAGAAAATGAGAAAATGTATATATCACGTTAATCTTTTTCTCTTTTCTAGCATATATGGTTTTAAAAATATTGAAACAAACATTATAATACGAAAATGTTTTCAAAATGTAATCCAGAAAAAAATTCTACTTTTATTTGTACACTATTCTAAATAAAATAAAGGTTGCTTGAAATTACAGTCCTAAACCCAAAAGCCTTAAAAGTGGGAAGGAATAAAACAGAACTCCAATAGTTACATAAAATAGTTTTAGTAACTCTGTCCCTTTGTTTCTGCCTCTTCACCAATACCTACCAGATGTTATATTATGGCTCTGACATTGTACTATGGTATCTCTGGCTTTAGGATCACAAAACCGGTAACATAAAGATCTAAAGTTTTTTAAATCCTCCATTTCTTAAAATAGGTTTAACTACACTCAAACCAATGAAACCAACCCTATGGTCACATTTTATACTATCAACTACAGAATATGCAACTGGCCTGAAATGTCTTATAGCAATGAGACAAAAGCAAAAGTTTCACCTCATTTTAGGACAAATGCTTCGCTAAGATATTCATAATTTTAACCTATGTAAAACAGAAGTAGAAATATTAGTTATTGATTATTTGAATAATATTGTAAAAAAATGTGCCTGTAATTCATGGGTCTGCAAGCTATGGTCTGGGCCAAATGTAGCCTGATGATGTTTTTGTAAATAAAGTTTTATTTGAACACATCCAAACCCATTTGTTTAGTTATCACCTACATATGTCTATGTAGCTACTTTCACGTTACAAAGGCAAGGCTGAGTGGCTGCAACAGAGACTGTATAGCCTGCAAAGCCTAAACTATTTACTGTCTGGTCCTTTATGGAAAATATTTGTCAACTCCCACTTTAAATCATTCTCTTATCTTTAATTTTTAAGGATCAGTATTATTAGAAAATATTTTTTTTTCCTAAAACTGAAATCTATACTTAGTACTTAAAAATTCATTTAAGTATCTTTTAAGTATCAGCTATTACAGGCTTAATATATAATCTCTGAAGGTCCCTTCCTATTTCAGAAGTCTATTAAAATAATTCTAAAGACTTTACCTTTTTAGAAATAGAAACATGTCACCATTCAATCTCAACAATGGAAGATATATTTTTTCATGTGCTATTAACTTACACATTCTGGAACTTTTAATCCTCTTACAGTTACATACAACGTTGATGGATAACGATTTCTTGGACATTTTAACCACCACTCAAAAACCTCAACGACATCTGACTGGGATCGTGGCTTTGTGGGTGGGTAATACAGCTGCAAGCGAAGTTTCGAATTGATGTTTACATTTCCATTGGCTCCTAGAAGCTTAAAATAAGAATTCAAATAAAACGTTACCTTCATTGAAAATACAACCAATAAAGCGACAGTATATAGCCAAAAACTCATTTTAAAAAGATTAACATGGCATGCTGAAATTCTTTAGATTTGTAAAGCAGAGGAAAGAACACTGACACAGTTGGTTAAGCACAATTCCAGGTCATTTTGACAAGATAGCCCAAATGACTTAAAATATCTTCCCAATGGCTGTCTTTTCCCCTATACAACTTCAGACTGTTGGTAAAGCATTTACATTACTATGCTGGGTGTTACTTTGTTCAAAGGAGGTGATCAATACACATTTGTTTGTAATAATACTGTTTGTAATAAAGATTAAAATGCATATTATTTAAACACAGAAACAAATTTCCCATTTGTTCAGCATCAGTATTTTTAGTGGTAAAATTTCATGATGTTTAAATTTTTAAAAAGTCAAAATTATTTTAAAAAAGTAATTAAGATACTTAAACTTGTTTGAGCCCCTTATTACATTTCTAAAATATTTTAGTCTACCTTCTTAAAAAGGTCTATTCAATCAAGAAAAACTATTAAACAAGACAACGTATGTTTCAGCTACATAAATGGAGATTCTTGTGAGAAAAATAATCTCACCAGCTCAAAACAGGTCCTCTTTCACTAGACTATGACTCAAGTAGAAAATACCTTTGCTAACTTTTGTGTCCTTTACAAATTAGTAGAGACAGTTGGGAGCTTTTGCAGCAGTTTAGGCAGGTGGAGCTGACAAACTCCAAGAGTAGGAAGGGACCGAGTACAGGGAATATTTAATAACTGTTACTGACTCATGCAACTTGGAAAGTAAAAACGAGAAGAATCAAGAAAGACTCTAAGGTAGCGCTATCCAACAGAACTTTCTGTGGTGATGGGCATGCTCTCTATTTGTGCCATGCAAAACAGTATCCATTAGTCACACATGGCTATCGAGCACTTGAAGTGTGGCTAGGGCAACTGTGGAAATTAATTTTTAATTATATTTAATTTTTTTTTTGGCGCAGGCTCAGCGGCCATGGCTCACGGGCCCAGCCGCTCCGCGGCATGTGGGATCTTCCCGGACCGGGGCATGAACCCATTTCCCCTGCATCGGCAGGTGGACTCTCAACCACTGTGCCACCAGGGAAGCCCTAATTATATTTAATTTTAGCTAATTAATCTGAATTCAAATGGCCACATATGACCTGTGGCTAGCAAGATAGATAGGGCAGCTCTAAGGTTGTAAACTTGGGAGTTTGGACAGATGGCGGTGCTACCAACTGAAGCAGCAGATGTGGAAAAGATAAGAGATCTAGGGAAGATGTTCAGTTTGGGGGAGTCAGATATCTATGGGTCACCCAAGTTGAAATGTCTGAATTCTGAGGCACACACAAGAAAAGTGGGTCTAAGAAAAGTGGATTAAAGATGGAATCATGAGTAGGATTGATATTAAAGAGATAGGTGGTAGACCAGGAAGGAAACTGAAGGAATGGGATAAGGAAAATCAGGAAAGGATGGTGTCAAGAAAACCAAGGTAACAAGAGTTTCAAGAGAGGGATATCATGCACATAGGTGTGATAAAAGAAGAACTAGAAAATGTTCAATAATTTGGTAAATAGAAGTCATAGTGATATGTTTGGAGAAGCTTTAGTAGCTGAAGCAAAATCCAGATTGCAGTGTGTTCAGGAATGAGGCATCAATAAAGAAACAGAGTTGGCAAAAAATACAGCTCATCTTTTCCCTACCCCTCTCAGGGGAAGATGTAAAGTCAATGGAGGTCGTAAGCTGAGAGGTGATGTTATGATATAGAGGGGTAAAAAAACAGTTTCAAATTGAGCAATTGAGATGTTCAGTCATTAAATATTAAGCAGTCGAGATTACCTTCATAAACTGTACTACTATCTGCCTGAAGCTTATCATAAGGGAATAACATCATTTTTAGAAGATATTTATTCCCCAGATTCTAAATCATACTTTCCATAAGTTGTATTAATATTCACCAGGCAATTTAGTTTATACTAGTATGCTGCTTTGTATGAGTAAACAACTAAGATTCAGCCAAGATCCTGCCATTATGATTACAAAACATACAAAGTGAAACTTGAATAAATAAGGCTTTATTATTTTTTAGTTTAAAAGATTAGTCATATATATGTGCTAAAAGAATCAAAAGTGCCTCTACCTGAGAATTAGGATAAAGTCTCATTTAAATCTGGACAAAGGTCCTTTGGGGTTCATTTGGACCACTATGATAACTTTACAGTTATCTAGGACAGTCCTGGAACCAATGGTATAGGTTTTAAAACGTTCGCATTTTAATTTGATTCATGCCACTTTCTCCATAGATATTCACGGAGCACTTTCTATATGCCATTAATATGTGGAGAGTGATGATATTATAAAATAGAGAGTTTGAAGAGTGATATATTAAATGCAAAGAGATCTGGTAAAATAAGGACTAAAATATGTTCAACAAATTGACCAAAAAGAATCACCAAAGACTTGAAAAGCTTACAGTGTAATGAAAGAGATATGTGTTCTAACAGAGGATGCACATAGAATAATGTACACTTTATTCCTGACTGCCATTTATATCAATGGCATAAAGTAGATAAATAAATAAAACTTAATATGACACAAAGGTAAAAATGCTGTGAAATACATTGTTCCCCAAGTGCAGTTTACAGTAAATACTGCAGTTCTGCACAAACCATAGCATAAAAGGAATGAAAAGTTTCTAATAAGACCACAAGATGGCAATGTTTACTATGTGAAAGTGACCTTTTTTGCATTTTTTGTTTGTTTGTTTTTATTTTTGCCTTTTTCTTTTTTATTTGGTATGAGAGGGGGTCTAGAAAAAGGTATAACAGGTTATAGAAGGGAGATTTTAGAAGGTACAACGGACTAAGTGATTCTTCAGCCTATCAGACTGCCATTCAGCAAGCAGACTGCACCTCTCCTAAAGCCTCTAACCCCCAACATGGATTAAGTGCCCCATCTGGGTTTTCACAGCATCTACTCCATAGCACATAATCATATAGGTAATACATTTACACAGAAACTGAACTGGAGGGCAAGAACAATGTCTAATGTATCCATGAATGCCCTATATTTAGCAGAGTGCCTGGCATTTCATAGACTATTTTCATAGACTATTTACCATTTACATTTCAAAGAGTAAATATTTGTTGAATGGATGGACGCACAAATGGAAAAGTTTTATAAGATAATACAAAACAAGTTAATTACTCAAGACATTTTAAAACTCAAATTTATGTTTAAAGTCAGAAATAAAAGAATTATGTAAGTAAAACGTCCCCCTTTTTAAACATTAATCTATCCACATCTTTCATCTCTGCTGAAACATCCTAGTCAAGACACCATCATTTTATACCTAGACTACAGCAAGAATTTTCTACTTTGATTTCCAGTACATACATTTGTACCCTCTCTAATCCATTCTCCACTCAGCAAAGTAATCTTTCTAACAAATAAATCAGATTATTTCATCCTTTTGTTTAAAATCCTTAAACGGCTTCCCATTACTCTTTAAAGTTTATAATGGTGCCCTGTTGCTATAATGGCTCAAAGACCTTTTATCATCAAGGCCCTGTCTACCTCAGCAAGCTCTTCAGGCACCATTTCCCCTTCAGTCTCTGTCCTCCAATCTTAGTGGCCTTCTTGTGGTTATCTAGGTATTCCTTGTTCCTTCCAACATCAGGGTCTTTGCATAGCCTGTAGCCTCTACCTAGAACTCTCTCTTCCCCACTACTGCCATCCAGCTCATGCTCAAGTTCAATGTCTCTTCTGCAGGAGACCTTTTCCTGACCCTGCAGGATGTTTTCATCATCTACCCCATCCAACTTGAGAGTATTTATAAAAATTGTAATAAATGCTAAGTTGTATAATCAATTGTTTTATGTCTGTTTTTCTTGCTAGAATATGAAGGCCATGAGGTCAAGGAGTTTATCTTCTTTGTTCACTGACTAGAACAGTGGCTGGCACATAAATAATAATTTGCTGAGTTGAATAAATGAGGTTAGGGCTGTGTGTGTCTTTCTCTGTGCTGGATCCTTAGAACCAAATAGTGTACCTGGCACACACTAAGCACTCAATAAATATTTAAGAATCTGAATGAGCATCACCTGAGCTTGAATTAATAACTCTTTACCATGGCAATCTGATCTCCTTATCATAACTCCTTATATGAAACCAAACTGATTTGGAAAAAAGTAGTGCATCAGATTTGAAGATTATTTTAAACATTGTTTTAAATGGATGAAAAACATACCTTGAGAAATGCCCAGGCGATTTTCCGGAAGCCACATTCTTGGTTTCGAATTTCAGAGTTCTTAATTTCTTCCATGCTTAAGAAATCAAGAATCTGTAAATAAGCATAAAAAATTACTTCACAGTATACTAGGCTTTCTAAAATTTAATATTTCCCAATAATATATTATTAAAATTTTAAAAATCCTCCCTTAGAAGAAAAACATTTTTATATCATCTCACTCACTTTTGAGTTAACTCATCCAGTTAGTAAGGTCCATTTTTTGACCACTTTATCTTTTATCTATAAATCTTTAAGATTTATTTAAAATTCAAGACAAAGCATTAATTACCTCAAATATAGTCCTGGCAAAAATACACCAGGCACAAAATCCTTAAGCTTTGCTCTTTTTTTAATGTATGAGCGCAGACTTCAAAGAATTGTTTGTTTAAAAAACTCATGGCCTTAATCTGTGGGTTTTTCCTTGGATCAGCTTCCTGAAATTGAGTATTTTCTCTTTGGATATATGTTGTCATTAGGCTTCTCAACAGAACTTCTTTCATATCTCTATCCTGACTGGATATTAAAGCTCATGGATTTGCAATCAACCTGCCACAGAGACTACATGTATTCTAGGTACATGTCAGAGACTACCACTTACTGGTGCTTATCAAACGCTCATCTGAGATAACAAATCTTTATAGAGGACTGCTTAAAACATAATATGCACTCCATTTATTCCTCTTCTTTATATACTTAAACTTGTCTTCAATGTAATACATTCTCAGTGAAAAAAATAATGACAGTATAAGAAAAATATACAATAAAAACTTATAATCCAGACCCATAGCTGATCAACATTAACATCTAGTTTATAGGTATCTAAACCTTTTTGTGTGTTCCAATGCTATTGGCAAACTATTTTCATGTAATATGTAGTGGATAGCTCGAGTCAATACATACATATGTATACCATCATGTTAATGGCCACCTAGTATTCTTCTGTATTAGAAATATCATAAATTTAATAAAAAACCATAATTTATTTAACCAAACCTCTTGTTAATTGAAGAGATCTGTTTCCTTAAAATTTCTGCTATTATAAACACTGCTTAAATAAATATCCTTACACACATATCTTTGTGCATTTGTCATTTTTCCCTTAGGTGAAATACCTGAAAATGGAATAATAGCTTTAAGAATTTCTGATAGATATTATTGAGTGGTCCTCAATACACCGTTAAAAAGTTGAAATCAAAAATTAGCTTTGTAGACAATAACATTTTATGTCAAACCTTAAGAATCAACCGGGCTTCCCTGGTGGCGCAGTGGTTGAGAATCTGCCTGCTAATGCAGGGACACGGGTTCGAGCCCTGGTCTGGGAGGATCCCACATGCCGTGGAGCAACTAGGCCCGTGAGCCAAAACTACTGAGCCTGCGCGTCTGGAGCCTGTGCTCCGCAACAAGAGAGGCCCCGATAGTGAGAGGCCCGTGCACTGCAATGAAGAGTGGCTCCCGCTTGCCACAACTAGAGAAAGCCCTCGCACAGAAACGAAGACCCAACACAGCCCAAAATAAATAAATAAATTTAAAAATTTAAAAATAAATAAATTTTTTTAAAAAGACTTGGGTTTAACATCCAAAAAGAAAATTAAAAAAAAAAGAATCAACCAAAAGTGTTTATAATTCAACAACCTAACTTTCTTAAATCTCACAATATTATTAAAATGAGTATAAGAGAATATTATGGTAACGGAGGACAAATTGCTATGACAAAGAAACAGTACCTTTACATACAAATTATATCATTTTTTTAAAAAGCGTGGCTTTGTACAAATCATACAACATAATCACAATTGTAAATGGTGGATTCATACCATAAACACACTAGATCATCTGAAAGTTAAGGATCATAGAAACAAGTGACTCTACAAAATAAGTTATTGGCTCTGGTCATGCCTTGCTTTTCCCATGCTAAAATTCCCCATCTTGCTTAAACTGGAGGAGAGGCTTTCTCTCCTTTCCTTTGCTTATGGAGAGACAACATGAAGTAGGGAAAAGAAATGTGGTATTTTAGATTCAAATTATCTTTAAATACTAATTACCTTCACCTAAAACTGGAGTAACTCTGGGATAATCACTTTATACTTTGAGCCTTCATTTCCTTTGCAGTAAAAAATTAGAAATAGTAAGTCAGCTAATATCCAAACTATGTAAAAAACTCTTACAACTCAATAGTAAAAAAATAATCGGATTAAAAAGTGGGCAGAAGATATGAAGAGACATTTTTCTAAAGAAGACATCTGGCCAACAGGTATATGAAAAGATGCTCTACATCAAACATCATCAGAAAGATGCAAGTCAAAACCACAGTGGAGTGTCACCTCACTCCTGTTAGAATGGCTATCATCAAAAAGATTAGAACGAGTGTTGGCAAGGATGTGGAGAAAAGAGAACCCTCGTGCACTGCTGGTAGGCATGTAAACTGGTGAGGCTACTGTGGAAAACAATATGGAGGTTCCTCAAAAAATCAAAAGTAGAACTACCATATGATCCAGCAATTTCAGTTCTAGGCATTTATCCAAAAAACCCACAAAAACCCTAATGCAAAATTGTTCATTGCAGCATTATTTACAATACAGATGTGGAAACAACTTACATGTCCACTGATGAATGAATGCATAAAGAAACTGTGGTATACACACACAGACACACACACACACACACAGACACACACACACACAAAATGGAATATTATTAAGCCATAAAAAAATAATGAAATTTTGCCATTTGTGACAACATGGATGGATCCCAAGGGCATTATGCTAAGTAAAATACGTCAGAGAAAGACAAAACTGTACGATCTCTCTAATATGTGGAATCTAAACAAACAAATAAACTAACCAAGATCATAGATACAAGAACAGATTGATGGTTGCTAGGGGCGGGGGGTGGGGGTTAAGAGAAATAGGTGAACTGGTTTGGGGTTTTTTTAGTTTAAATAAATTTAATTCTTTAAAAAAAGTCAGCTCACAGGCACTCTACTCCATAAAGCTTTCCCTGACTGCTATGACCCTCCACTAACCCTTGACATCTAAGAAGTTCTACTTCATTTTGGCTATATGACACGTTGTATTAGTCAAGCGATCTGTGTATTTTCTTCTTTATTTCTCCTAGTAGTATACAAAATCTTAGGAAGTCTGATACAGTTAAATGAGCTTACTCTTTGCGAAAAGGGTTAAAAATGGAAGACTGCTTAGACATAGATTAGATTCATCACTTCAGTGAATAGTCATGGCATTGCTGTAAGGATTAAATAATACAGAGTAAATCAAATGGCTAACTACTTGTACTAGTAAAGGCTCAGCAAAGACACGATTACTTGTATCTCCATAGCACATTACAAATACATTATTCCTAGAGGTCAAATTCTCACTACTTTGTTGTATTATTGATCTACTAAAATAATAGCTTATATTTGTGCTATTAAAATATTAAGTAAAATTTAGTTTAAACTGCTCTATTCAATTCATACCTCAAAGAACAGGATGACTTTAGGACTCTCATCAAAATCTCGAAGCAAATAGGGAAAGTTTTCATTAAATATAATTTGTTCTTCCCACTCCGGAAGTCTTGATTTTAACTGTTTAAAGTCATATGGCTGGGTCATAATAGGAAGAATATAATCCACATTCTCTTTTTCATAGTAAGATGAAACAGGCCGTTCACTGTTCAAAAAAGATACTTCCATTAACACAGTTCTTTACAATTTTAAGGCAAGAAAAAAATAAAAATAGTGTTCAAGGTGAGGTGACCAAAAATAATAAATAGCCATGACACATAAGGAAAAAAATTTTACCTATCTAGAAAACTACAAATTTTATGCAACGTAAAAGTAGTAGTATCTTAGTTTCATCTTGTATTTACATACTATCAGTCAGTTTCATAGAATTACTTCATTATTTACACATAAAGTGAGAGGTGTGATTACACCTTTGGCATACAAAGCTGGAATTAAGTAACACCTTCAGAACCTTAAATGAGTTTGTGATAAATTAGTACATTAGATTTAAATAACAAAATGATCACAACAGGATTGTAAGTACTTTGAGGTGTGTCATATTTTCTTTGTATGCTCCAAGACAAATGAATAAGTGAATAACCTTTCTGATAATTTTCAAGTTTCCCAGGCCTGCCATTTTTCCAAACAAATAATTTTTCTGAATTCTAGTACTGTCATTTATTTTATCAATAGTGTACTTTCTATTGGGGCCTTCAAACACATATTAGTTATAGAATTAATATTAGGAAAAATTAAATTCAAGACATTCATCTCATCTGAGGCACAGATAACATATTAACTTCAAAAGAAAAAAATGAGGTTAGAGACAATTAAAGCAGTGCCACATAAGATGATTTACAATGCAAGTTAAATGCCATACAATGAAAGTTAAGCTTGGGAGAAACTCTATCAAGTCCCCTTCACTTAAAATGAATTACTGAATTAACACATGTTCTCCATTTCTTCTATAAAACATACTGATCAATATCAATGGTTGATGAACACCTACAATTAGTATACCATTCTCTAATACAAATCTATATATAGCTCTATTCCCATTGACTGTCAATGGCAGAAAAGAGACTTCTATGGTAGACAGTTTCAATTTCAAGGGTTGGCTGCGCAATTAAAAAAATCACCTGTCATCTTTCTTGACATATTGACCAGTATTCTCATCAACCACATGAATTTTCACCATCGGGTGAGAAATCATAAAATCTGACTTAAGTCGATCAGTTCGGTGAATGTAAACTCCCAGGACAAGGTCATCATCAAGCAAACATTGGGGATAAACTGGACGATCTCGGCTTGTTATTTCATGAACACCGTCACCATCAGTGTCTTCATTATCATCTGAAACTACATGCACGGAAGAAAATCAATGTTATAATTAATTGTTCCCATAACAATATACTCAACAATAAACTGAATTTACAGATTATCTAATCCTAGTGATCCATGATTATTTGTCTTTGTTAACAAAGGCACTTCAAGGAAAAAGAAAGAAAAAGCCAGATAATAGCAGACTACACTCTGAGAGTAAATATTGCATTTACTAATGCACTAAAATAGGGTGAGGTATCTTTCCTTTTTTCCCTAACAAGGACTAACAACACAGAAAGAAACAAATGAGAGCCAAAGACAAAAAAGTAATTTCATTTAGAAATTTTCTAAGTGGAATATGTATCACTCAAATTTCTGCTTCTGGGTAGGATGTAGTAGGATGTTGCAGGTCAATGTTTCTGGTAACAACAACTTGAAAAAGCCAAATAAATTTTGAAAACCTTATTTTTAAAGGCATCAGAAAAGTACAGAAACAATGTATAGTAGATGGACTAAAATTCCAGAGTGGGAGGATCAATCAGGGGTAAGCTGATGGACTGACAACTGTTTCAGTGTCTGGGGACATTTGCTGATTAGCATATGAGCAGAGGACCCAAGAAGAAGGTCACTACTGGGAGAAAGAGTAACCAGCAAAATTTTTAGTGGGTGCATGGGGTTAAGTGATAAAACCAGCCTCAAACACAAGGCCAATGTGAGAGGCTAAAGTTGTAGTAAAATCTCCTAGTCTTGTGGTACTAGGAAACAATGACCCAACAGAAGGAGGGACCTGAAACAAAAGAGGCAAGGAGGAAGCCCTGGAGGGCATGGTCATTTTATGCCTACAGCCACTTTTCACCTGGGGTCACTTACCAATTCTGGGCGCATCTAGAGGTTGAGAATCCAGGCGGACCCCCTGGCAGAAGGCCCCTACTGGGGGACAGAGAAACCAGCAGAGATTTTGGCGTTCACGCAGGGCTGGAGTGACAAAATTGGAGACTTGAGGGGCCTCAAACACACGGCCAGTCTCTCCCTCAAGACATTTGCCAAAATTTGAAGTTGCATGGGGCAGAAGGCTAAAGGACTAAGCTGAAACCTCTGAAAGGCAAAACTGAATCTCCCAAAGTCTTTTAGGGTAGACAAGACAAATACCTGCCAGGCTCTCAATCTGAAACATCTGGAAGGGCACATCCTAGGAACAGGGCAAATCAGAGATAGAGTCTTACCAAAACTGTGACCCAGATCTGACTTAGCTCAGATTAGCTGAAATCAGTTGCCCACCCTGTCTGCCTAAAAGTGGAAAGAGGAAACCCTCTCTAGTGGAAGATAAAATCATCTGGAGCCTCTGGGATTCTATACACGATGTCCAGCATATAATAAAAAAGTTACTAAACATAAAAGAGGCAAGACTGTATGACCAATAACCAAGAGAAAACACAGAAAACAGAAGCAGACCCACAGATGATTCAGCCTGGAGTTAGCACAGGAAAGACAGACAACATTATTTTTAAAAATAGAGACTTTCTACAGAGAATTGAAAGTCATAAAAATAACAGGCATTATGGAACTGAAAAATATGTCTGAAATTAAGAATTCAATGGATGTGTCTAAAAGCATACTGGACACAAAGGAAGACATTATTAGTGAACTAGAAGAAAAATCAATATAAATATCCAAATCAAAGCACAATGGAAAAAAAACAAAAGAATATGGGGCAAAAAAAAAACACAAGAAACATGTGGACAAACTCAAAAGAGTTTGTGAAATTATAATCTAGAAAAACAGGAGAGGATGATGAAGAAGCCATATTTAAAGAAATAATGACTAAGAATTTTCCACAACTGATAAATGATATCAATCAGTAAACTCTAAGCAGGGTGAATTCCATCAAAGCTATATTTAGGCATAGCATGATAAAACGTTGAAACCAAAGACAAAAGGAAAATCTAAAGAGCAGCCAGAGGGAAAAAAAAAAAGACAACAGTCCCCTCAAAGGGACAGAAATAAGACTGCAGTTGGGAACAAAAATGATGGAAGCCAGAAGACAACTGTATGATTTCCTGTAACCTAAAATTATATATTAGTAAATATGCTTCAAAAATGAAGGTAAAGTAAAAGCATTTTAACACAACAAAATCTGAGTGAATTAGCAGGCCTGCACTAAGAGAGAGAATAAACTGAATTCTTCAAGCGATGAAAAACGGAAAAATGGAAATAAAGGAAAAAGTAAATTTAGGAGTGAATATAAATTAATATCAACTGTACAAAATGGTAACAGTAACATCTGTGAAGTTTAAAATATATGTAGGCCTAAAGTACAGGATAAGAACCTAGAAGGCAGGAGGGGGGATGGATGCAGAGAAAGCACCTGACAAAATCCAAATGGAGTCAAACTATTCTCATGTTTTAGTAGTGTTGCGGAAGTGTATTTTGTTAGGGAGTTAGTTTGTATTAGACTATAATAAGTCAAGAATAAACTTAATGTTCTTCAGGGTATCAGCTAAAAGATAGTAGAAATATGGTAATTAATAAGTCAATAAGTTAATAGAGGGAACAAAATATTTAAAGTAACCTGAATAATTCAAAAGAAGGCAAGGAGACTAAGGAACATAAAACACTTAGGTCATATGGAAAAACTAACAGTGAGGTGATAAATATAAGGACACAGAAAGGTCGCAAACAAGAGGATATTGGGGGAGGCACAAGAGCACTTCACATTTATTGGGAGTTCACAGCCTGGGGGCTGAGACCCCACATGTGCTGGAGTAGGAGAAGAAAAGAGGTGAAGGCAAAAAGGAAAGGAATACAGACATACTGTGGCCCAAAGGAAGTACAAAGAAGGCACACACAGGGAGCCTAGGGGCCAGTAGAGGAACGAAGTACTGGCAAGCCCTGCCTAGACCTGGAGACCATGAACCAAGCACAGGTTTGAAGGCTGTCCTTTCTCAACCAGGTTGGCACCACCTAGGGGTACACTGTGGATGATGCTGGAGAAATGAGGAAGGGAAAAAATGTACTATGCAAACTCAAACCATAAGTAGACTTTAAGGGAGAATGGTTACCAGAGATAAAGAAGGACACTACATAATGATTGCTATAGACTGAATGCCTGTGACTCCCCAAAATTCATATGTTGAAAGCCTAACCTTCTATGAAATAGTATTAAGAGGTCGGGCCTTCAGAAGGTGATTAGGTCATTAGGGTAGAGCCTTCATGAATGGGATTAGTGCCCTTATAAAAGAGAACCCAGAGAGCTCTCTTGCCCCTTCCACATTGAATCTGCAGGCACCTTGATCTTGGATTTCACAGCCTCCAGAACCATGAATAATAAATGTTTATAGTTTAAGCCATTCAGTCATGGTATTGTGTTATAGCACCCTGAATGAACTAAGACAATAATAAAAGTGTCAATTTGACAGGAAGATATAACAATCCTAAGCATGTATATATATTCAATAACATAGCTCCAAAATATATAAAGAAAAAAATGACAGAAATAAAAACAGAAATGCAAAATAATAGTGGGAATTTTAATACTCGTCTCAGTAGCTAATACAATAAGCAGACAAAAACAAAAAATCAGTAAGATGAGAACACAATAAACTTGATGTGATATACACAGGACACCACCGCACCCAATGACATCAGAATTCATGTTCTTTTCAAGTGCACGTGGCATATTTACCAAATCGATCATAAGGTGGTCATAAAGAAAGCTGTGATAAATTCTAAAGACTGAAATCATTCACTATATGTTCTTTGACAACAATGGAAGATAAAAACCAAAAAAAAAAAAAAAAAAGATAACTAGAAAATCACCTGCTGCCTGAAACTAAACAATATGCTTCTAAATAATGAATGATCAAAGGAGAAATTTAAATAGAAATTAGGAAATATTTTTATGGAATGATAATGAATATAGAACATATCAAAACTTTGTGGGATGCAGATAAAGTAGTGCTTAGATGGTAACTTAATGTGTTAGATGCATATAAAGGAAGACTGAAATCTTAAAAAATCCACCTGTAAAGCTAGAAATCAACAGCAACTCAAATCCAAAGAAAGTAGAAAAAAGGAAATAATATAGATAGAAGAAATTACCAAAATCATACACAAATGTATCACAGATAGAAATAAAAGCTAGAGGTTGGTCCTTTAAAAGTATTTATAAATTGAAAATCCTGAGACTAATGAAGAAATAGAGGGACTCTAATTACCAATATCAAGGGGTACCCTTTCAGATACTATAGACATACAAAATTTGAAAATCCATACTAAACGGACAAATTCCTCAAAAAATACAGTCTATCAAAGCTGATAAAAGAAACGGAAAATATGAAGAGTCTGGTATTTATGAAAGAAACTAAATCTGATTTAAAATTCTTTCCACAAAGAAAACGTTGGCCTAAGAGGCTTTATTAGTAAATTCTTCAAACATTTAAGGAAGACGGAACACCAATTTACACAAATACTTACAGAGAATTGAAAAGGGAAGTATTTCCCAATTCCTTTTGAGATCACCAAAACCTTGGTATTACAAACTCTGTGTATATTAAGAAAGAGTAGTACAAACCAATCTCTCTCATGACTACAGTTACAAAAATCCTTAACAAAGTATCAGCAAATCAAATCCAGTAATAGATTTTAAAAAAGAAAGCTAATACACCACAACAAAGTGGGTGCCCCCCACCTCTGCCAGAAACATCAAGATGGCTTAATTATCAAATAACGATTAACCACATTAATAGAAAAAAGGGTGAAAATATGATTATATTGATAGATGCAGAAAAAGCACCTGATAAAGTTCAGTATCTAGTCATAATAATAATAAAAAAAACTATTAGCCAATTAGGAATAGCCGGTAATTAATCCAATAAGAGGTATTTACAAAAAACCCTATAGCAAACAACACAGTCAGTGGTGAAATAATGGAAGCATTCCCCAAGGCTGAGAGCTAGAGAAGGATACTTGTTATTGTCACTTCTATTTAACACTGTAAACAAAGTCCTAGCCAGTGTTATCAAGGTAAGAATAAGGAGTAAGACATAAGAACTAAAAAAGAAGCAATAAAACTATCATTATTAACAGAAAGACCTATTATAAAGCTATAGAACTAAGACATGATGGTGGTGTTGGTGCAAACCATCTAAGGATAGAAACTAGTGAAAGTGACCCACTTACACAGTCATGTTATTTATGATAAAAGTGACACTGAAATGCAGAGGAAAAGCTCTCTTCAGTAAATGGTACTAGGTCAGTTATATATTCATACGAGAAAAAAATGGGTCTGGACCACTACCACCATGGAAAATCAATACCAGATAAACTGGAAATCTAAATGTGAAAAGTGAAACAAAAAAACTTTTAGAAAGTAATGTACAGAGAAACATCTTCAGGACTTGGGAAAGAGCTCTTAAATCACAGAAAGCACTTAACATAGAAGGGGAAAATGGATACATTGGGCTATATGAAATTTTTACGTTCCGTTTTTCAAAAGATACCCGTAGGAGAAAAATTATAAAACCCAGAGTGGGAAGATATTTGCAATATATATATGTATTTATATCTGAGAAGACTGCTATCTAGTTATATAAAATATTCTTACACGTTAATTAGAAAAAGGCAGACAATTCCATTTCTTAAAAAAATACACAGAAGATGTGAACAAATTTACAGTGAAGGAATCCAAGTAGTCAATTAACATGAGTAAGATGCTCAACTTCACTAGTTGCCATGGAAATCAAATCAAAGTCAAAAGGGAATAATCACTAAACACTCCTAAGGATCACTAAAATTTTAAAACACTGACAATAGAAATATTGGTGAAGATGCAGAGTAATGGAAGCTCTCGAATACTGCTAGTACCAACTGGTAACCCAAGTTTGGAAAGGGAGAAGAACCTGTTAAAGTGAAAGATATACATACTCTACGGCACAGCAAGAATGCCAAGAATGTGCCCAAGAAAAATGTATACACGTGCTCACCAAAGATGTGAACAGAATGTTCATTATAGCTTTATTTATAATCGCTTAATACCAGAAGCACCTCAAATGCCCATCAACAGAATAGGTAATTAATTGCGGTATATTCACACAACAGGTATCTATACAGTACGAAAACAGGACTGATGATGCATAAGCTCAAGTGCATGCAACAACAGTATAAATCTCACAAAAATAATTTTGAGCAAAAAAAAGCCAGACACAAAGAGCATAGTATTTATTGTTCTATTTATATTAAAGCAGAAAAACCAGGAAAAATTGGCTATGTGTTAGATGAAAAGGCAGCATTTACTCCTGTAGGATAATGAACAGGAAGGGAACTTGTGGGGGCTTCTGGGTGCTAATGATGCTCTGGCTCTTAATTTGGATGATGACTTTACAGACACGTTCAGTTTGTGAAAATTCACTAAGTAATATACTTGTAACATGTACATTTTACTTTTTAAAAAATTAATTATGGAACCACAAAACACCATAAATTGCATCATCCAATGAATAAGTACCATAAAGTCTAAAATTGCCTATTTTAGTCCCAATTTTTGGCCAGTTAAATGGGAATTGAAAAGAAAAAAAGAAAAAAGAAAAAAGAAATGTAACAAGCAGAAAAAGGGCAGGAATAAGTAAAGAAAAATGAAATGAGTAAAGAGGAAGGTAGAAAGCAAGAGGTAAAATGAAAAGTGGGCAGGAAGGAGAGAAGCTGAATTAGGAGACATTGTGAAGATACCATGTTTGACAGAGGGATGCAGCTTTAACATGTGAAATGTTTATCGGCTGTTGACCATTTTATAGCTTTCAGTGCTATAACTCTTAATTATTTAGAGGCAATAACATAAGGAAGAAATCTTCTATGCCACAATAGCAACAACAAAGTCAATGTCATTCTAGAGGTGAATCAAGTCGTTAACTAGAGATGACTCAAGTAAGACTAACTCATCACAGAGGTCCACCGTTAAAAATAAATGAATGTTATAATCCGGACGAATCCAAGAATAAGCACCAAATATTCTATATTGGATTTTTTTCAATTATATCCTTTGGAACTAGATTTTCTTTAGTTTTAAGGACTAACAGTCCTAGAATCAAGTTATTCTTACCAAGGCGCACATTTCTCATTTAATTTGGGTAACAAACCTGTTTTAGCCTTCTTCTTTTTTTTCAGTTTGTATTTTGCATCATCTTGCACATTGTCTTGTACATTTTGTTCCTTTGAGCTTATTTCATCATCTTGATGAGAATCTGAAGTAACTGCTCCAACTGGGGATTCCTTCTTTTGTTCACCTTCAACTGGGTCATCAGAGATGATCAATGTACTGCAAATATAATCCAAGTTCAAGCCATTGGAAATGTACCATTATTATTATTATTGTGCAGCAAAGTAAACAGTGAATAGAGGCAAAGATAATCCTAAAATCAATATTATTTCCAGCTGGGAGATACATATATTTTCTTACACACTAAAATGGTTGGCTACCAAACTAGGTATTATGTGTACTCAGTTACGCTTAGTGATACATTATATACCCCATGAGCCACATTAAACTCATCTCTAAACTCCAGGGAAAAGTGAAATTGTATTTTATGATCAATGGATCTGTTTTTACATAGGACTGTCAAATCATCCTCACTCTACTGCCAAGTAAATAAATAATGAACAAATTTCTAAATTACTTTATTTAAAAACAAAAAGTGTTCTAATTTTGTTTGTTCTGTTTTCAAGAGGCTTCAGATAGTCAACTTTTGATTTCTATGTAAAAATTAATTTCTTGTGTTTTCCAATGTTTGGTGTGTCACTACATTTTCAGAAGGCTATTATTAAAATTAAAATATGTGTCACATGAACTACTAAATGGCAAGGGGTGGCAGCCTAGAAGCATACTGAGTTGTAAAGAGAAACCAGCCTATTAAAGTTTGTGATTTATCAAGTAAAAAAGAAATCTGCATTTAATAAATCAAAAATTGACTTCCAATATATTTAGTCATATTTCAAAAAAAAGAGGTTGAGAAATAAATGTTTCAAGCCAGTCATTCCAGAAAGCCATGTTACTTTATCACATCATCAAATACTATTATTTAAAGAGAACAATTACCCTTTGTATGCTGTTGTCATGTAAAGCATGGTTTTATTTAAAACTCATGAACTGATCTTACTGAGTATGACTTTACACTTCATAATAGATATGGTGGTTATGAGAAGAAATAGGATTTATGGTATACTGTAGTAAGCAGTCTTTAAGGTGGTCCCCAATGATCTCTGCCTCTTGATATTCATATCTTTGTGTAATCCCCTTCCTTGATTGTGGGCTGGACCTAGCAACTTACTTCTAATAGACAGAATATAGGAAAAGTAATTGGTGCTACTTCTAAGATTAGGTTCCAAAAAGACTGTGACTTTGGTCTTGCTTTTTCCCTCTCAGAGCCCTTGCTTGGGGGAAGCAAGTGGCCCTGTTGTGAGAAGCCCACATGGAAACATCCATGTGCAAGGACCTGATGTCTCTGGTCAAAAGCCAGTCAGGACCTGAGACCTGCTAATGGCCATATGAGTGAGTTTAGCAGTGGATCATCCAAGTCTTCCAACAGCTGCACATCTGGCAGATCTTCCCCCAGCCAAGCCTTGAGATGACTGCAGCCCCAGCTGACATCCTGACTGTAGCCTGCGAGAGACCCTGAGTCAGAGGCACCCAGCTAAGCCACGCGCAGATTCCTGAGCCACAGAAACTGTGAGACAATATATGTTTGTTGTTTTGAGCTGTTAAATTCTGGGGTAACTTTTTAATGCAGCAACCGATAACTAATTCATATACTAACGTGTCCCTGTTAGCAACTCTATTTGCCCTCTCTTTGCTACAACTGGTTGTCTAGCTTTTGATAAGAAGGGAATTATTTTTAGATGAGGACATTAAGGGAAACTGACCCTGAATGCCACAGAATAGTCAAATACAGACTGTTCCCACCTCAAGTTGTTTATCCAGATGTAGATTACGAAAAACAAATTTAATCACAGTAGTTAAAAGATTTTTTTTGTCTTGTTTTCCCCAAGGAGAGACATACAAATATGAATATACTCACAGATGCTCACATTGTATATGTAAGCATATATGTATAAGCATTGTATATAAAAAAAGACTAAAGGAGGGCTCCCCTGGTGGCGCAGTGGTTGAGAGTCCACCTGCCGATGCAGAGGACATGGGTTTGCGCCCCGGTCCAGGAAGATCCCACATGCCGCGGAGCGGCTGGGCCCGTGAGCCACGGCCGCTGAGCCTGCGCATCCGGAGCCTGTGCTCCGCAACGGGAGCGGCCACAACAGTGAGAGGCCCGTGTACCGCAAAAAAAAAAAAAAAGACTAAAGGAATACAAAACTGCTAATAGTGATTATCTTTGTACGGTTGGATTACTTTTGTTTTCCTCTCTGTGTCTGTGTGTTCTACACTGAGTAAATGTCATTTGTAAACTTTGGGGGAAATGTTATTTTCATATATCCAAACAGGCATTTGTAGCTCAATAAAGGGGCTACTTAGGTTTCAATTATTTAATAAGCAGATGTGAATAGTTAGGGTTCGACTCTTAAGGCAAAACTGCCAAGGTTCTGGCTCCGCTTCTTACTGGTTCTGTGACTTAAACCCTTCAGTTGCCTCACCTGCAAAACAGGATGATAATATTATTCTTTATAGGGTTGTTATAAGGGAAAAAGCATGTATTCCTTGTAAAGCATTAAGCACACAGGAAGGGGCCACATAAAGGTTAGCCGTTAATACTGTACTGGCTATGTGTCCAAAAGGAGGACTAAACATTTTCTTTGTGAAAATGTGATAGGGAAGAACATTTTGTATTCTATTACAAGTTAATCACTAAAGGGATGTTGCCTATAAGCTTAAATTATACATAATGGCCCATCTCTGGGAGCCCTGCTTCCCAGGTAATGAGCATTAAGCTAAAATACCTTTGTTTAGCTCACAGGAAACATCCTGACCAGGCCCACCTGTGAATGACTGCAGGGAGGAAGAAATTAACACATCCCCTCTGGAGGCTGATGGGAACCAGGAAGTGTGTGACTTTACTCCTTCCCCTTCTAGTATGAAAGGAGCCTGAATTCTAACTCAGGCAAGATGGTTCTTTGGGGGCACGATCCCACCATCTTCTCGGTTTGCCAGCTTTCCAAATAAAGCCGTCATTCCTTGCCCCAGCAACTCATCTCTCGATTATTGGCCTGTCATGCGGCGAGCAGTATGATCTCAGACTCAGTAACAAAACTACAGGTATCACTCAAAAGCTGAAAATAATAGTATTTTTTTAAGAGGACATTTTATATTTATCAATGTAACATACCTTGTTTCAGATTTAGACAGGATTGGAACTTTCTTTTTATTCTTTTTTCTTTTTTCACCATTCAATTTGTCATCATACAATGAAGTATCTGAAGGAAAGGAAGTCTCTGAGGGAAAGTAAGCCAACTGCTCCTTGAGTTTCTTTCGGATTTTCTTCTTAATCTCCTTTGCCATTTCTTCAGCTACTTGGAGCTGGTATACTTGCATCAGTTCTTCCTCATCTAAACTATTTTCTCCTTCCTTGGCCTTCTCACTTTTCTCACGAGTGACACCTGGCAGTGGCTTGGTCCGTACTTTCTGGGGTGTTGCATCCGCCTTCTTCTCAGGAGTTTCCAGCTCCACTTCTTGTGTTGTCACCTGGAGTGCTGTTTTTATAACCTTTTTATTTGCCTTTTCTTGCTTGTCGTCCTCCACAGCAACATCATTATCTGGATCTTCAGTTGCTGGCTGCGGATCTCTTGGTTTGTTTTTAGTGACTCGCATGTTCTTCCCTGCGTTCTTAGTGTTAGCAGCACTTATATCATCACTTTTAGTTTCTCTGATTTTCTGAAGATCGCTTCTAACTGCATCAAGCTAGGAGAAGACGATACAATAACAAAGTTTCAGCTAAGCACAGTTTAGTTACGTGAAGAAAAAAATAATGACAAGTGTTCCACAATGTGTAATACTGGGAGGATTATTTCACTTTTTACTTGAGCACTGTGACACCATTCTATGGCATCTGATGAGCGTTTTCCTAGTTTTTCTCCCAGCGTTAGATTAGCAATCTAGAGAGTAACTTCAGATCAAATGAATTAACTAGTTAACAAAGGAAAAAGTACTTAATGACTTTTCAGAAGTGAATTAACTGCTCAAATCTCAAATGCTACTTTCCTCTTTGGCAGAATGATCCATACTCTAATCTAGATATTTGTGAAAATGCTAAAAGAGCCATGGTTAAACCATTTCATGTTTCCCAATAGAAAACACACACGGGTCATTTATCTTGCTTCATAATTACATTAAAAAAACAAAGGTTTATAGCTCTAGGATTACTCTGCAATTAGTCCAAATGTATCACTGAAAATGCTGCTAAGTATTAAATATTATCAACTTAGATCAAATGACAGACTAAGCACAAACTGGTACCTCTTTCTCCAAACAAAATTATTTAAAATGAGAGATATTTTTAATAGACAATCAGGCTAGAAATCAAAACCGAATGTTGCTAGTAATGAAATAAACACTTTGAGAAATTCCCCAAGGATAAAAAAAACAGGCAGGATTAGATCTAGTAAACTACCAGAGAAAACCACAGCACATAGGAAAAGACTTCTCCAGAGAAAAGGCTGGTTCTGGAGAAGCTGAATCAAGTAATTCAGGAAGAGGGACAAGCCTAAGGATGACCAATTGAGGCGTTGGGAGGGACAGCTCTGTCTCCCTCCTGCATTCGTGTTACAGGGTGACTTTCACCCAGAGAACAAAGCAGCTGAATACAGAGATATGGCTTCATGTTTTAGGTAGGTACAACCCTCACCAACAGCGGAAGCAGACTATGTTGAAAACAACCAACAGGCAGGAGAAAAATTCTCAAATACAAAGATGACTAACAACTAACAAACACTGAAGGAAAGCAGCACAATGAAGGAAAAGCCACCAAATCCAATAAAACAGAAAAATTAACAAGGAAGAAAAATAAATAGCATAAATAAATTTAAAAGAAGTGGAATTAATATAATGAAGAAATTCCAAAGTATGAGATAAGAAAAAAAAACATAGATGTTAGAATTAAAATTTCGAACGACAGAAATAAAAGCTTAAGAGATGTGTTCAAAAACAGAAAGGGCAGGGCTTCCCTGGTGGCGCAGTGGTTGAGAGTCCGCCTGCCAATGCAGGGGACACGGGTTTGTGCCCCGGTCCGGTGAGATCCCACATGCCGCAGAGCGGCTGGGCCCGTGAGCCATGGCCGCTGAGCCTGCACGTCTGGAGCCTGTGCTCCGCAACGGGAGAGGCCACAGCCGTGAGAGGCCCGCGTACCATAAAAAAGAAAACAAAACAGAAAGGGCAAAACCGAAGTGCTATAAGATGGAAGCCAATACCAAAATGAAGAATTCTCCCAGAAATGAATGAGCTTACCAGTGAAGACTGAAGTTCAATTTTCGAAAATCCTCATGTTTAAAAGTGGTTAGAAAATATCTAATATATGTGAAAAGATGGGAAAATGCTAGAAGAACTAGTAGCCCATTATATATCCAATATTTTACCATCTCCAAGACTCTTCTGCTTACCTAAAATATATTTCCAAATTCTATCTATTCTTCAAGGATAAATTCTGAATCCATATCCTTAAAAAAACTTTCCTAATCAAATCTAATAAAAATATTTTCTCTCTTAAAAAAAGTTTTATTTTCAGGGCTTCCCTGGTGGCACAGTGGTTGAGAGTCCACCTGCCGATGCAGGGGACACGGGTTCGTGCCCCGGTCCGGGGAGATCCCACATGCCACGGAGCGGCTGGGCCCGTGAGCCACAACTACTGAACCTGCACATCTGGAGCCTGTGCTCCGCAACGGGAGAGGCCACAACAGTGAGAGGCCCGTGTACCGGGAAAAAAAAAAAAAGTTTATTTTCACATGTTCTGTTTCTAGAAGCAACATATGCTTAACTTAAAACAGTAAGAAAACAAAAAATTAAAAATAGTAAAAAAAATTCAGAAATTACTTAGAAAAAGAAGACCCAAAGTTCAATCCTGGGTTCCCTCACACAAGGCAAGTCATTGCTAATCTCTTCAGAAACTTATTTTTGTTGTTTTTCTATGAACACAGTCATACCTAATAACCTTGAATTTCCATTATGTCCAAATGGGGCAAATGCAAATTTCTCTATTTTCTCGGAACCAGAAACGTAGTGGCAATCGATAAAAATTGTGAGGACACTCCAATAACTGGAAAAAGATAACCAAGAATTAGAAAAAAGAATTATGGTCTAGAAGAAAGGATTTTGAAAACAAAACCCTGGGGAAGCTAAATAGATGAGGCTCAGTTTATTTATTTATTTACTCTCTTCCACTAATCTGTCAACCTTTGTACTAATAACATCATTTTAAATACAATGCCCAGAGCATCTGTGGTAGCGTCCCAAAATTCCATTGCACTGAATTGATAGTTTCATTACTTTTTAAATTCCTGTTTTTGTGGTTTGGATTTCCTTTGTATTTACATTTTCGAGTAGTTTATAAATTTTAAACTTTGGTTACTGATTTCTAGTTTTGTCATACTATAATTTAAAAAGGTCTACTTCATGGTAGTTCATATTTCATGGATTATCACTGAATTCTGAAGTGTCCGAAATACATTTGTTCATGTTCTATTATATCTTTGCCCATCCTTTTATTTTTACCGTCCGTGCCTCATTTAGGTTTTTTGCTTTAGTTTGTTTTTTAAATCAGCTTTATTGAGACATAACAATAAATTATGTGAAGCACAGTAGTATCCACCAGTTTTATGTGTATACTTAAATGAATTTTGGCAAGGTATACAGCTGTGACACCACCACAATCATGATGTTAAACATCCATCACCCCACATATGTTCTTTTACAAAGTAAACTCCTACCCCTCCATGTCCTGGACCCGCTCAACCATTGATCTGTTTTCTATCACTGTAATTTTGTCTTGCCTGGAATTTCATATAAATGGAATCATATAGTATATAGCTTTTTGTGTCTGGTTTCCTTCACTCAGCCTAAAGCTTTGGGATTTATACATGTTGTTGCGATTATAATAATTTACTCCCTTTCATTGCTGAGCAGTATTCCATTGTGTGGAGAGATACTACATTTTATTTCTCCATATACCAATTAATGGACATTTGAGTTATTTCCAGTTTTGTATATTATATGTCTTCCTTTCTCTTGAGTGAATACCCACTAGTGGAACTGATATACTATATGGTCAGTACACATTTAAGTTCTTAAACAACTGCCAAACTGCTTCCTAAAGTGGCTGTACCAGTTCACACTCCCATATGTATGAGTTCTAGTTACTTAACACCCTTGTCAGCACTCCACATTGTTAATTTTCATCTTTTTGTGTTGTAACAGGTGTATAATGGTATCTCATTTTATTAAATTGCATTTTCCTAAATACTAATGACACTGAGAATCTTTACATGTGCTTATTTGCTATCTGCATCTCTTCTTTGGTTAAATGTTCAAACCTTTTGCCCATTTTTGTAAGGTTGTTTCACATCATTGAGTTCTGACAGTTCTTAAAATGTCCTAAATACACTTTATCAGACAGCGTGTTGCAAATATTTTCTCTCAATTTATAATTTACTTTTTCATTTTCTTGGCGATGTTTTGAATTTTCACAAAGCCCAGTTTATCCCTTTTTTCTTTTATGGTTCATGCTTTTGTATCCTGAGAAATCTATTTATAACTCAAGGTTACCAAGGTTTTATCCTGTTTCTTCTGTAAGTTACATAGTTTTAGCTCTTATGTTTTTTAGGTCGTTGATCCATTTCTATTTAATTTCTGAACATGATATAGTCAGTTTGTAATACTGTATATGTATATCTGATTGTCCCAGAACCATCTGTTGAAAAGATTGTCCTTTTCCTCATTTTGAGGTACCTTGGCAACATTGTCAACAATCAATTGACCATACACATTTGGGTCAATTTCTAGAGTCTCTTCTGATCTATGACTTACATATCCACCTTTATGACAATACCAGGTTGTCTTGGTTACTAAAACTTTACAATGAGTTTTGAATCAGATGACAAAATTCCTTTGCCTTTGTTCTTCCTTTGCAAAATTGTTTTGGCTATTCTAGGTCTGTTGTTTAAATTTTCAAATAAATTTTATAATTATATTTTCAATTTGTAAAAGTCTGCTGGCATTTTGAATTGAATCAATACATCAACTTTCAGAGAATGGATAATAATAATCTGTCAATAATTATTTGACAATAATGATTCTTTCAATCCATGAATATGGATCTCTATTTATTTGGTTTTTACTTTCAGCAGTTTGGGGATTTTCAGTATACAGGTCTCACATATTTTTTGATAAATTCTTCCTTGATTGCTACATATTTTTGTTACTACTATAAATGATATTTTAAATTTTAATTAAGTTATTCATTACTGGTATAGAAATACAATTGGTTTATACTTGGACCTTATATTCTGCTAAACTCATTTAATAGTTCTAACAGCACTTTTTAGAGAGTTTGTCAACTGCAAATGAGATTCTTTTACTTCTTCACTTATGATCTTTATGCTCTTTTTAAAAAATTGCATTATTGCATTAGTCAGAGTCACCTGCACAATTATGAATATGCATGGGGATGTGCTCAAGCTTAGGGCAAAAGCTTTCAGTTTTTTACTTTTTTTTTTTTTTTTTTTTTTTTTTTTTTTTTTTTGCGGTACGCGGGCCTCTCACTGTTGTGGCCTCTCCCGTTGCGGATCACAGGTTCCGGACGCGCAGGCTCAGCGGCCATGGCTCACGGGCCCAGCCGCTCCGCGGCATGTGGGATCTTCCCGGACCGGGGCACGAACCTGTGTCCCCTGCATCGGCAGGCGGACTCTCAACCA